ATATACATGTACCTAAAAAATAAGATAAAATAAAGACTTTTGGGGGGGGGGGCACATCAGGGAGGCTGTGACAGTACAATATGCGCTATACAACAATAGTGTCACGGCATATGGGGCACAGAGCAAAGACAGAGGAGCAGGGCGCAAGGAGTCGGGAAAATGTGGGGTTTAATAGAGGGGAAGACAAGCAGAATCGGTGAACAGGCAACACAACCACGATGATGTTAATGACAGGACTGGGGAAAACATACCTAACACCAACTTAAATACATAGGACTAATGACTACAACAAGAAATAGCTGGTAAACACAGGGAATCCACACGAGGTAGATGAGGGGGCATGTCACACGGGAGGATCAGACGAGCGAGGCATGACAAATAGACTATAGACGATGGACTACGAGAAACAGTGCAAATATTCTGGCAGTGTAGTTAGTGTAGATATTGCTTATTCCAATAGTTCTCAAACTTTTTGTCTGGAGAATCCCCAAAAAACATTGTTCAAATCTCAGCACCACCACGATTTGATATGAGAAAATCATCTCGACATCCCTTCCAATTATTTGGCGACCCCCTTAACCCACAGTTCGAGAACCGCTGGCTTATGGGATTCAATAGAAATATTAAATTAGATAAATCAATCTGGAACATTGGCATAAAATAATGATAAAGACCCGTAATGATGAATGTCATCTTGTATGCAACTAAATGGAAAAAAAAATGACAGTACTAATGTGGAAAAATGTCTCGTTTAATTAAAAACAACGTTCAGAGCTGGCCAAGTGCGATGACGGTCTGGGGTCTCCTAAGGCTACTCTGACCTGCAGCAAAGCGGGGAAAAAGGACAGCTGTTCCCTCACCTGCACCTCCAAAGCCCACTACACTGCAGGTAGGACTGCGGGCTCCACTGGTCATTTCGCCGATCATTTCTTCATCTGAATAACTTCACTTATTCTATCATCATGATGAATTTTGCTGGTCTGTCGACTCTCAATTAGCATCCCTATTTCCCACCTGATTATAATTCTTTTGACAATTCTAAACTGATTACCCGCCCATTTCTTTTGCCTGTGCAAATGTCTGTACAAATGACTGCAAACAAATGTGATTGTAAAAACCACGCAGAAGAATGTGTGTAATGCAAGAGTAATTAGTGTGGACTCTGATTTCTGCTGATTTATATTTGCATGTAAAAAGCGGTCGTAGCGCGTCTGGAGCTTTTAGGTAAGCTATGGCTTTTCTTGTCCCGACATTTGCAGAGACTGACAGCAGCTACGCTGTGAGCTGTGGGCTGCCCATCCTCCACGGCAAAGGAGTCCCCAGACCCAGCGCCAATGCCAACCACAGCTGCCAAGGTAGCCTCTCTTGACACACATTAGATCCAAATAAAATCTTGTTTACTGTACAAATCAGGCAAAGACGTGATGACTTAACAGACCACTGACAGTGTATGGTTGTTCAGCTCATTCATTGAATCTTTTTAGTTCCTGGCGTTGGGTAATTGCTGCAGAATAGTTCGTTATTCCATAACTGAGCAGAACAACGCTTTATGAACTATTTGCTGTATTTCTTTACCCCCTAGATGGTGCTGTCTGTTCAAAAAAAGGCTCAAAACAGGCCCTAAGCAAGCCAAGAGCACCATCTAGTGGGGTCAAAAAATACCGCAAATGGTTCATGAGGCATCATTTTGGCTATCATTACCAGACAACAAGCAGGATGCTATAACCCCCTGGAGACGAGGACATCCTGAGCGAAGTAGTTAAAGTTTCCCATCTATTTCACATTATAACTTACTGAAATCTTTTTGCAGAATCCCGAAAAAACGCTGACTAAATCCGTAATCTGTTTTCTTTTCAAAACGTTGACTTTCAGATGTATTAAAGGCTATAAAATTATGTTGTCGGCAAAAAAAGTAAAGCATGTCACCTTATTTAATTTGACCTGAATCAGGGGCGTGAAGTCCCGCCTTTACCCCGAGGATTCACATTGTGAATAGCTGCTTTACCATACATTAACAATGTATTCAAGCGATCCAGCTTTATCGCCATGATTTTACCACAATAAAAACTGACGCTGATTGAAATTAAATTTACTGAGGACACATTTCACTCTGAGAAAATGAGACACCACATATATAGGCATGAAAACTCAAACATTATTGGCCAGTGTTTCAGGTTCATTGTCCAATCCTTGTATTTACAGGTGAGACTGAAGCTTGGCGTCCGATTGTGAGATCAGCCATTTACCTGGTGCCACTGGAAGGATAATTAGCATAGAATGAGAATTATTAGACTTCGACGGTCTCTAAGTGTGTCCCGCTGTTTCCTTACCCCCCTCCCAGAGACCCTTCCCTCCCCCGTCAAGAAAACCGTCTTGTTAAAAGTGAAGAATGCAAAGTGTCATCTGCACCTCAAAGCTAAAGGCGGGACCGCTGAGGGGGTCCGTGCACTCAGCTCGGGTACGTACACAACCACTGTGCCTGGGGGGCGTAGGAATTAAACACCTATTACCTCAACCGCACCTGCTGATGTCTGAATTAACTGGAATGTGACTCTGCTGGCAGCAAGAAGAGTATTTTAATAGAACAAATGACAAATTATAGCATTAAGGTACCTTTGAATGTGGAATGGTTCGGCAAAACTATCCTGCTGTATAAATCATTTGAGGTGTAATTCACTTTGTCATGGTCTTCAGTCACCTAGTCACAAGTACCAGTGAAAAACTGGCCATCAACCCGACCATACATATACAAACATCACATTACAGGGGGTAGACAGGTCAGGAAGACGGGGGATATAGGAAGAACAGAGAAAACAGAATTACATGAGGAGAGAGGAGGAGAATAAAAAAACAGCCCCCAGACTGTACTCCAGTAGGGAGTATAATGTAGGAACAGAAAAAAACACATCAGCAACATAAGCACATAGTCACCACACCTTACAACATAAAAAATCGTGACTTGCAACAGGGGAGGGGAATGGGGAGGTGGAGGTAGTCCAGCAAAGACAAACAGCCATCCGGTACTGCAGCCAGAGGCGCTGGTCACAGACCTGCTTGTTCACGCTGGGGGTATGAAGCGGCGAAGGCGTGGGATGGGGGGAGGGTGCGCTGAGTGCATATCTGTACATACATGTGTGTGTGTGTATCCAGGTGTCCTTGGGATTGGGGGAGAGGAATGCAAGAGAGTCTCACTGCCTTGGTTTTCCGGGGGAGTTGTTAATTCAGCAGCGGCCTTGGCCAGTTGGCTGATTAGGGGGGAGCCAAAAGCAGATAGAATAGGGTTTCCGGGCGAGAAGCTGTAATTTCGCAGCTCCTCTAATGTCCACGCTGGTCTCCGCCATCCAAAATCCTTTGCAGAGCCTTGAGCTTCTCCGTGATGTTATCCAATCTGCGATCAATAGTCGCAGTGATGTTATCCGCGATCTATAGCCACAGTCTGAGTGCCAACAGCTCTGCCAACTCCGTCAATCCTCCCGGCCAGTCTAGTGGGGCTTTGAGCGGCTGTCACCGTTTTCTTCAATTTTCGATAAACCAGGGCAATGCCTAATCCAATCAGCATAAGACCTGTAATCATGGTTCCGAATAGGTGGATATCTTCCATGTCCTCCACGGAAAGAGCTGCCAGACACACGACCCTCCACTTCTCCCATACGTCCATCGTGTAGCCAGCTGCGTACGTTCCTGCAGGACAGTCAGGTTCCCCCGAACCTGGGCTTCTTGTCGAGAAGATGGTGTCAATTGCGTTGAGAGACCAGTTGATCAAATCCATGATTTTCTTAGTTTTGAAGAGCAGGGCTGAGAGAGTCTCTCAAAGTATAAGACAGTAGACCGGACGAGACGAGAGGAGCAAAGCGGGGAAGATAAGGGGAGGGAGAGGGAGAGAAGGGCGTCCGCCTCCGCTGAGAGCCTTATGGACACTGTTCAGGAATGCTGCCGCTGGCCATGCTCACTGCCCCCTTTCTGCAGGGAGTGCCGAGTCCTGTAGCAAGTGCCTGGTTAGTTATGTCAACCTCAAGTGCAACTCCACCAGGAAGGCCAAGAATAGGCAAGCCCGCGAGCCCGCCACTGCCGGGGCCATCCGCATCATGCTCGAGCTGGAGGCACAGCCGGGGGACGTCACGGGTGAGTCACCGAGTGCCGGCGGCGGGGACCTATGCAGGGTACTTTATGCTATGGGTGTATGTGAGGAGACAGACTGCATGGCCCTCCTCCCTCTGGGGGCCCCACCCCCTACCTGCCATGACCCCGCCCTCCCTGACCTGACCCCCCCCTCCCCCCCCGGATTGCTCCTCCCTCTCAGAGGCCTGTGGCTTGAGCTGCCAGAGGAGGCACACAGAGCAGCAGGTGCAGACGTACGTCAAGGCACTGAGGAAGTCCATCAGCCAGGACCGCTTCCTGCTGCGGCTGGCCGGCCTGGAGTACGAGGTGGCCCAGAAGCGGGCACAGGCTGCAGGGCGCTGCTCCCCGGGCGGCGAGCAACACGGCGGGCGCTGCGGTGAGACACAAGGGCATGAGCGCCCCCAACAGGGCAAACACACTCCCACTCTATAGTCTGTTCCATCACATAATGTAACATCAATTATCCCGGAGACTTACACTCAATGGTGGACGTCACTGTATCAGAGCACTGGATTAATCAATGTTAACTAGAATAGAAAAGGAGAGTATATTTGACTTTCTTACAAGTACAAATGTGCTTTTGAAAAGAATCACAAGCCTTTAACTGATGTGAACTCTAGACTCATTTATTCCCAGTGAACATTAGCTATTTAAGAGACCGGCTGGATAAAATCCAGCATGCATATTGAATAGTGTCACAATTTATTTGGAATCACACATTATGGGATGCAATAGGTCAGATCAAACATCTCATTTGAACTGCAGTTCAAAGCTTAAAATACCCAGAATGCATTGCACCACTGTTATGACCCTGATGAACGCAGTGAAATGTTGGCCATACTCATGTTCTGAGCCCCCTGGCTCCCTTCTCAGTCAGGTGCAAGCCTGGCTCATATTACCATGGCGGGCAGGGGCGCTGTGTCCAGTGTCCACCCGGAACCTTCCAGGAGAAGGAGGGACAGCTGGCGTGTGACCTCTGCCCGGGCAGCGACGGGCACGGGCCTGCAGGAGCCCGTAGTATCTCGTCCTGCGCAGGTACTCATCCTGGTCTGGGTGGTGTAGTTTTTGCTCTCTGAAATAGATGGGGCATTTGAGACAATACTGACTACGTAATAACAATACTGACTACGTAATAACAATACTGACTACGTAATAACAATACTGACTACGTAATAACAATACTGACTACGTAATAACAAAGTATTCAGATCCCTCAATTGCTGTTTCTTGGTCTCCTGAGTTCATATTTATTGAGAGTTATATATTTGTAGGATAGGATATTTACTAGATTTTCACAAAGGAAGTGAAAAGTTAAAATTATCTTCCTTCCTGAGGAAGGAAAAAACAGATTTTTCTCTTATGGGAAAAAACAGATTTATGGAAGTTAAAATTATGTCTAAATTTAAGTGGGTAAAGCTATATAATGTCAAACCTTTCAGTGTGATGGTTTTTACATCAGTACATCGATGTTTAACAGTGATGGGCAAATGAAGCTTCATGAACCATGTGCTGTGTTTTTTGACTCCACTAGATGGTGCCCTTGGTTCGCTTTGGGGCTTTGAGCTCTTTTATGAGGAGAGAGCACCATCTAGTGGAGTCAGAAAATATAGCAAATGGTCCATGAAGCTTCATTTGCCCATCACTAATGTTTATTGTCACCGTCCAATCAGCTGTGAGTACCCTAGAGAATCCTGTAAATCAGTGTTTCCCAACCCGGTCCTTGGGGACCCCAGATGGTCCATGTTTTTGCTCCTGGGAGCTGGGAGAGAGCAAAAACGTGGACTTTCTGTGGTCCCCGAGGACTGGGTTGGGAAACACTGCTGTAAATGACGGTAATCGCTAAACTAAACTAAATTAAATAAACACACTTAAAGGAGAATTTCCTCTGGGCACCTCCCACCCGTGTTTGTGCCCAGGTCAGTGCCCGTCAGGATCCTACTCCAATGATGGCTTCAGACCCTGCCAGCCGTGTCCTCTGGGATCCTACCAGCCTGAGCCAGGTCGGATGCAGTGCTTCTCCTGTGGGGGAGGGCTGAGCACCAAACGGGAGAATTCCAGCTCCTTCCATGACTGTGAGGTCAAAGGTCAGCTCCAGTCAGTCGCTTAGGGTATGACCAATGGGGACATTTGTCTACAAAGACCATGACAGAGGATAGACTTCATACCAGCTGTGTGTGTCTCCCTGTGGCATCTCCGCAGTCCAGTGCTCTCCTGGGCACTATTACAACACCTCACAGCACCGCTGCATCCGCTGCCCGTTGGGCACCTATCAGACAGAGTTTCGGCAGAACTATTGCATCTCCTGCCCTGGCAACACCACCACAGACTTTGATGGGGCGACGACCGTCTCCCAGTGCAAGAGTGAGTGCTGATAACTTTGCTGCTGCATGACTTACCATGAAATCTAGCTCCTGTGTTTATGGCCAGTCACATACTGTATATGGAACACCCGATAGCAGTAAGCACAGGATAGCTACAGTACCTATCGCATACATGTCACGCAATTATGTGTCTTGTGTTATAGTGGTGCCAATCTGTGCAACACTTCGAATAGGTACAACAAAATTTGGAGACTATCCTTGTCTGTACAAGAAAGAAAAAATCAGGAAGGATACAAATACAGAAAAAATAAGATGAATAGAATATGAAATAAACAATATAAACAGAAAATAGAATGTAAATAAGTAACAGAAATATAAAACTGAATGTAAAAGGATTGTGAAGAATAAAAGTGCAAAAACAAATAGAATAAAATGTCAAAAAGCAGATGTTTAAGTGTGTTAGGTGTTCCTCTCCTTGTGATGCAGATGAAAATGAATATGAAAATACTGCACATTTCAGCAGTGAGACTGAGAACATGCTGATAGGGAGTGATGGGCAAAGTCAGAGGCGGAGCTGCTTTTTAAAGACACGCCCAGTTCATATTAGAGATGTCAAGTGTGGTTCCTGGTATAAAACATTTATGTTTTTGTGATTCTTTTGTATTCATCATTGTGTGCGTGTGTGTGTGTGTGTCTCTGTGCATGTGTGTGTGTGCGTGTGTGTGTGTGCGTGTGTGTGTGTGCGTATGTGTGTGTGTGTCTCTGTGCATGTGTGTGTGTGCGTGAGTGCACCCAAAGACAGAAAATGTGGAGGGCAGATGGGGGAGTACACCGGTTACATCGAGTCTCCCAATTACCCTGGTAACTACCCCGCCAACGTGGAGTGCACCTGGAACATCAACCCCCCCCCGAAGCGGAAGGTCCTCATGGTGGTGCCTGAGATCTTCCTGCCCTCTGAGGACGGATGCGGGGATGTGCTGGTCATGAGGAAGAACTGTGAGTAGAAGGTGGCTTTCCAGGAATCAGAAACCGTCTAAGCTGGTCTTCGGTGTCTGACAATGGAACGCAAAGTGTGTTCAATATCCATTGTACTGTTACAGAAGGAGGTCCAGATTCTGTTTAAACTAATAACCTCAGGAGGAACATTTAATTAGTTAACAGTTGTTTAATGAAAAACAATATTTGTTATCAGAGCAAGTGCTGTGACGGGTTAGGGAGTCACATGACAGGGGGTCTCAGAAGATTGGTCGGAACACCTAGCCTAAAATGTGATTGGGGCCCTGTTAAGTCATCCACCACAACCAGTAAAATTAGGTCCCCCTATCAATTGATTCTAAAGCTTAAATATCTTCACCTGCAACTATTAGGCTCTGCTGTCTCTTCCCGACTGCCTAGCCTGTGTTATTTGTCCCTAACTGGGTAATCAGAGGCCCATTCATATTGGTAGGTATGAACATGGACCTGAGCTGTACAATGCAGTGTCATGGTAATAAAAAAGCACCCCTCACCTAGTTCAGTGTCATTCTTCTACCTACAGTAATATTGGCTTCCAACATCACAAGAAAATGCATGAGAAGGAAGGCCAAGTCTTTTTGTCTTTACATGGATCACTGCCGAGGCAAAATTCAGGCAAATATATATATATATATATATATATATAAAAAAAAATCAAGTTCTTGACTGAGATTAATTAAATTAATTAATTAATTAAACAAAAAAACAAACAGAAAAGAAGAAAGAACAAAAAAAAAACTTCAGTGGGACTTTGTATGTGGACTTTATCCTTTGAAAATTACCAATAAAAAGAATAAAATCATTTAGGTACAAAATGAATGGCACAGGGGTGGCGCGGTGACGCAGTGGTTAGCACGGTGATGCAGTGGTTAGCACGGTGACGCAGTGGTTAGCACGGTGACGCAGTGGTTAGCACGGTGACGCAGTGGTTAGCAGTATCACCTCACACCTATGGGACCAGTGTACGAGTGTCACCTATGGCTCAGTGTGTGTGAAGTTTGCATGTTGTCCTTGTGTTGTCATGTGGTTTCTCTGGTTTCCCCCCACGGTCCAAATACATTGGAGTTTACCATACTATACCATACCATACCGTACCATACCATACCATACCATACTATACCATACCGTACCATACCATACCATACCATACTATACCATACCGTACCATACCATACCATACCATACCGTACCATACCGTACCATACTATACCATACCATACTATACCATACCATACCATACTATACCATACCATACCATACTATGCCATACCGTACCATACTATACCATACCATACCGTACCATACCGTACCATACTATACCATACCATACTATACCATACCATACTATACCATACCATACCATACTATGCCATACCATACCATACTATACCATACCATACCATACCAACTTTACTTATAAAGCACTTTAAAACAACCACATAGGACCAAAGTGCTTTACAGATAATTTAAAATGAAACAATTAAAATTATGTAAATAAAAGTTCATAAAATAAGCACATATACAAAATAAGATGATATACCATCAAATAAAATAAACTAAAATCAACATCTCACAAGGGATCGAAAGCCAAAGAAAAGAGAGGTTTTCAGGCGAGATTTAAAATCAGACAGAGAAGAAGCCTGTCTGCCATGCAAGGGCAGATCATTCCACATTCTGGGAGCTGCAGCAGTGAAAGCGCAGCCCTGTCTATGCTAACGCTTGGTTACAGGCCCCCTCAGGAGCAGCTGGCCAGATGACAATGAGAGACCGGGAGGGTATGTTAGGCTGTAACAGCTCAAAGAGGTAGGGAGGGGCAAAGCCATTAAGAGCCTTAAAGGCAAATAAAAGAATTTTAAATTGAATTGACAAAGTGCCCATAGGTATGTGTGCGTGACTGTGCCCTGCGATGGGTTGGCGCCCCGTCCTGGGTTGTTCCCTCCCTTGTGCCTGTAGCGCCTGCGACCCTGAATAGGACAAATGGTTTCAGAAAATGGATGGATTAATGGCACAATTAAAGTTCGCAGTCACACATGATATAGCCTCGTCCTCTATTTTCTCCACAGTTATTCCCTTGTATAATTTTAATGAGCACTTGACATCCATAAAAGGACCTGGACCGTAACACAGCAGTAATCGGTTGTGTCTGGTGGAGACGGTCGTGGAGGCGAGGTGCTTGACTTCGGTCTTTCACACAGTTCCCTGTCACTGCCCTCAGGGTCGGCCGCTTCCATCACTACGTACGAGACGTGCCAGACGTACGAGCGTCCCATCGCCTTCACGGCCCGCTCCCGCCGCCTCTGGATCAACTTCAAGTCCAACGAGGCCAACAGTGCGCGTGGCTTCCACATACCATATGTCACCTATGATGGTACGCCGAACAATCGATGTGCACGACCCTGCGAAATTTTATGGAAATTTGATTATTCACACGTCCCTCTGCCTTGATCTGCAATGGCTACTCGTTAATCCAGGTGTCGTTTGCTGCTAGCGCTTGACAGATGTTGGGTTGGTTGCCATACGTGTAATTACCTGCTCTGCTTCCTCCAGAGGACTACGAGCGCCTCGTTGAGGACATCGTACGGGATGGCAGATTGTACGCCTCGGAAAATCACCAAGGGATCCTCAAGGTACTTAAATTTCTCTTAATTGCTTAATTACAGTCATTATTTTAATTATAAATCACCTCATCTGGTGTCTCAGGCATCAAAAAAGTGCTAATATGTTATGCCTTCTGAATGTTTTATGTATTTTAAAAACACGCAAACATATGCTTTGCATTCTGAACATGGATGTAAAGGTCTTCTAAATATTCAACATATATTTTAAGTTGTCTAAATGTACTCTGTGTTATTACAATTATAAGAGTTGCATTTCTACTCTGCACATTTTGTAATTACGGCTGTGTGCAGTGATCTTGCATGTTTTCGTCTTTCCCCCACACAGGACCAGAAGCTGATGAAGACGCTGTTTGAGGTGTTGGCTCATCCGCACACCTACTTCAACTACTCCGCACGTGATTCCAACGACCTGCTTCCCCAGTCCTTCATCCGCCTCATCAAGAGCAAAGTCTATGACATCCTGCGGCCGTACAATTAGCAAGTCCACCACTGCCAACGCTTGGGAAACTCGCGCACCACCACAAGCATGCATCTCCCCATGCAACACCATAAAGTTAGGATTATTTTTTTTTTACTGTACTTTCCTTTTAATACATATACTGCACTATCACGGCTCATGCTGGTTTGGAGAAGCCCGGTTTTTCGTGACCTCGGCCCATTATTGCTCAACATACTCACAGGATCACACCATTTCCTGAATATTCATCAGGTTTTTTTTTTCTATATTCCACGCATATTTTCAGCCCAAGGAAATAGATTCTCACATTTACTTGCTTAGCTGAGAATTTCTGAACGTATAGAAAAGGTAATTTTATGTATTTATAAGGAAGAATTTTAGCAGAGCTGAGGAAAGTGGCAGCGATCAGTGCTGTCGATCAAATCCTCGGTTTCCTGTCATGTTTCATAACTTCGGAGCCTCGTTTTTGCACTCTTAAACGTTTTTCTTTCTGAGGCCTTGCTGCTTGAAATGATCCCTGTTTCATCAGTGGTATAAGAAACCGTTGCGCGTGGCCACACTGGAGTCGAAGGATGATCAAAGCTGTGAAGGACCATTGGAGGGAAGTCTGCTTTGCACACTTAAAAAGGTCACTTTAAACCTTTAACTCCTTTCCTGTCCCTTATGTTCTCCTGCCCTTTTCCCCAAAAGGAACCCACTTTTGTATGTTTGTTTTTGTTTATTTTTATTTTGAAGAGACATAATACTACAAAGTCTTTGTTTCACTGCACTCAAATCAGTTATGAGAAGTCAAAATTAATTTTCTGTTAGACTGTAACTTCTATGGAAATATCACAATACTATCATCCACAGACTAATCCAGAACCATCCAGAACTGTGGTGAATTATAAGACCCAAAGACGTAGTTCTATGTCTTCATCTGCATCCCACCAGAGACCAGCTGTTCTTGAGATGCTCTTCACGATGGAACACCATAGTCCTCTCTCCCTACGTTTGTTGAATTTTTCTCTGCAAAAAAAAAAAAAAATGGAAACGTGATAATCTGTGGAAAATGTGTAGCGTGGTGTCCTGTTCAAGCAGATGATCGTTTTTAGACTGATTTACAGGAAGTCAAATTAAACATGTCATCCATGTTAATTAAATTGTACAGCTTCTGACGCCAGATTTCAATGACTGCTGTAAAAATCCTAGATTACCAGAACGTACCGGTTTTTTGTTGATGTCGTCTGTGCTGTTCCCGCTTTGGTATGCCATTTCATTGTCCTCAGGGGGATTGTACCAGTTGGAGGGTGTTGATGGTCGGTGTCATGCTAATTTAACCTCATCTCACATGGTGTAAAATGATGTAGCTATACTTTAACACTCAGAGTCCCTCTTAGTCATCGCTTCAGCTACTTCAAGGGCTTCATTGTCATGGTGCCCATTTAATTTGCAAAGACCTTTCATTTTCTGCATTCAGCTCCAGACCCCTGATTCACCCCCACCAATCACATCATCCAGCGAAGTTTCCCCCCCATTTTGGGGTTTTTCTTTTTGAACTTTTATCAAAATGGGTTTGATATGATGTGACCTGGAGTTGATAAAATGTATTTGCACTTGAAAACTCTTGATATTGTGAAGAAATGTCAGAATTTTGTATAGTATTTTTTTTTAATGAACGGACGTGGTGTTCCTTACTTCCTGGAGTCTCTCCTGTCCATTTGTTCACGCGTGAATAACTTTGTTAAAGTTACAATTGGCTTAAGAAAAAGATAGATAGATAGATAGATATATAGACAGATAGATAGCTAGATAGATAGACAGATAGATAGATAGATAGATAGATAGATAGATAGATTGATTGATTGTCTTTTCAAATGTCATGTTTTCAAAACAGTGAACACATAATTCCAAACCGAAACTACCTGGACAAAATTCTATAATCCTCACAAAACAAACTCTAACAATATGAATTGTGATAAATTAAATGCTTTCAGTCCATCCCAAAGAAAACTGCACATTTCATTTTGAACCTATTCATTTGTGCAGTAAGCACAATACAGCATGGATTGTGTTTTTTCAAATCACACTTAACTAAGCTAGTTGAAAATAAAATACTGTGTATTTTTACAGCAATGTAAGGAAGTCTTCAAAACATCAACAAATTATAACATGCATTTCAAGGTACAGCTCATGCATTATACTCCCCACCCTGAAAAGCTTTATGCCTTGAATCTAAAATGACTCATTTGTTTTTGAACAAAAAAAGGATTTGGAATTTACTCCACTTATGGTGATTTGGCCACATGTTATTTTCAACATTACACTTGATGTCTTCTCCTGCAATGCAGAGGGAAATACATCCTTGTATCGTTTATCCTCCAAGAGAGACATCTGGTCATTTGGCCAGTGACCAGACACCCACCGGCAAGCAGAGAAGAAAAACGGCAACATACCGCATATTGGAGGCTTTCGTACAAAATGATGAACAACTGAAGAACGAATGGGATTAGACAGCATCTGATGCCCCTGGAACAGTTGGGGTCACTTCATTTAGTGGTAGTGAAATTAGTACTCTGATTTGAATCCACAACCTTCTGGATAAGATCATAGAACTGTAATTCTCTGAGTTGTACACCACCCCCACATGGATTCAAAAAAGGTGAATATGCAGAGAGGAACCGCATCGTCATACAGGGACTTACTGAATGCCATTTATTGGCATGTGGAAGACGACACTGTCCCAAATAATGGACAAGAGAGCCATGGCAGGCCTGGTTAGCCCTCTCCTTTTCATGAAGTGCAATGAGGACTGGTTGATAAATATCAAAGGAGATTATAATTGGCCATTCTGGTGCCACGCAGTCCAGAGATGGCCCTCCCACATCTTGGCACTTTAGGGAGGTTGAGGCCGGTTTTATCCGCATAAATGAGTCCATTATGTGGTCTTTCTGCTTCCAGCTCCATGATTATCAAATGAAAGAGGACATTTATAATTATAGATCTATTGTGCAGCGTGATGAGGTGTCAAATCCTAACCTGCACATATTTAACGCTTAGCTTCATCATGCGGTCCCTGTTCCTTTAGAATGGAACTTCATTTCATTGTGACTAAAGAGCCCTAACCATAACCATAAATAACCAAACAAAATACAAGACTTTTTGCATTTTTAGTTTTTTCATTGCAGTCACAGATTTTTATAAAATAGTTTTCTCATATAGTTTTAACAGGAAACTGGTTCCCATAAAGTAAAAAGTAAAGTAAAAAATGGGTATTCATCACGTTGTGGGGACATTTGGTCTCCACAATGTTGGGTATGCCTGGATCACACACACACACACACACACACACACACACACACACACACACAAATAAATTGTGAAAATGCAAAAAAATTAAGGAAAACTAGAATGGGAAGTTTGTGAACAAACTTCATGTTGGCTTAAAAAAAGCTAGCTATCCAAAAGTTTGTTTAGTGAACTTGGTGAAAGTGTAGGAATGGCAGCAGTATACATGTTCCCATTAAAGTCAACGAGTGAAATCTGATTGGCTGCTGGTGGCTCCACCCACTTTTCCCATAGCTTGCACCGCAGTCACCCATTGACAAACTATACAAAGTTTGGACAATCTGTGATCAAAATGGGAATGATGCATGTACAGCTACCGTGAAGTTAGGATTTAGAGCCTAAAAGTTTAGCTGGAGAAATAAGCAGCTCTGTGGATTAGGACTCTTCTCGTTACTTGGCATCAGGATATTAGAGTCAGCGTAATAGGAAAACTCTTAATGACATCTAAACAGATTACTGTAATTTTTAGCTCTTTAAATAAAGTTAGAAATGTAAGCATGGTCAATAATTTTAACACTTGGAATATTCATAATTTAAATCTCCCGAATGATTGAAATCAAACAGTAAGACCGGACTGTTCTTGGTGGCGGGTTTTCTGTGTTAATACCTGAAGCACTTCTCCATGCTGCCCATCAGAGGGCAGACTTGAACAGCATAAATATTCTTCCTAAGGATTATTAATACTTTTCTCTCCTACAGAAATAAGAAATGCTATAGAAAAATACATTAAAAATACATTGTTAACCTTGTCATATTGTCCTGCAAAAAACCATAGGACACCTTAACATCCATATTGTGGTTTGTAAGGACTATAATTTTTTAAGATTGCTAAAATAACATAAATTAGACCAGGATCCACTTAGTCTTCATTATTGCCTTCTTGGCACAAGACGTCTTGCTAACACAATCTTAACAGTTTCTCCTAGCTTTCATTATTTAGAAAATAGTTAATTCATGTCTCAGAAAAACAGGAAACTTTACTGGATAATTGTGTGAAATACTTCCTCTAATGTGTCCCACCTAATCTATATGGTATCCATTGTTCAGATTTTGCAAAATAAGATCAGGTAAGTAACAATACTCTGCCATTGTGCAAACTGGGTATACTGTCCTGTATTGCAGCTTTCATAATTTTGTGTAGCTGCAGTAATATTCTGGAGTTACAGTAAGGCTATGCTGGGCAAAGCAGTGTTAGCAAGAGGCCTAGCTAACGTGCAATCACTGTGGCCATATTTACTGCATGCCTGAGGTGGCACATTGCTGTCCTAATAAAATGCTCTTGCCATTTGCTGCCCCATCAGGTCTTTGTTGTTGACTCTTGGACTGCTTGTGATACATCATTACCACCCAATCACTGACTACACCACAATACTGATGTGTCTGCATGTTACTAGGCATTAAAAATGTTTCAGCGTTACTTCATCTACTTAATACTTCAGTTAAATGGAACTGAGCAGTTTCATATGAGTCTTGTATGACAATGTTTCCCAATCTAGTCTTCAGGGACCCACCGACAGTCCACATGCTTCCTTCCAGCTCCCACAAAAATGTGGGCTGTCTGGCAGGCAGCTCAGATGGAGCAAAAACATGGACTGGCTGTGGGTCCCTGAGGACCGGATTGGCAAACGCTGCTTCTATGAGTGTCCCATACCTTTCAAAAATGCGACTGGACTCCTTGCAATGATTTAGGGATGAAGACCCCAAGCTGAGCAGAATATTAAAATAGGGTCAGGTGTGTGGACTGGGGAGCACTGAGTGGCCAGTAGAGGTGGGTGTGGTTGTTTAACTTGTTTCCTGGGTTAAAGACGTTTTATTTGCGATGTCTCTCTGAGTTTGAGGCTTTATCTTTCAGCTGATCTTAATGTCAAACCAAACAGACAGGGTCTGCCCTTTTGTCTTCTATTCTCTGTGATTAAGTCATATCTGATATGCAGGGCAGACACGCATCCAGCACGTCTGTGCGTTTGGCCTACTTTTTCTGTCAATAATTTAAGGAACTTCCATTTGTGTTAAGGACCATTTATCAGGACAATGCTACAGAACCAACTGCACCAACCCAGGTGGCTGGGGGGCGGAGTCCCACACCCCGCACCTGACGTGCTTCAATGTGCTGTGACACGCTTGACTGGTGTCCCCGTGACCAGCGGAGCCACATGCTTCTGAGGAGCCTCTCGTTTCCTGTAACAGTCTCTGGAAGGACATCCTTGGCCATATCAAATGGTTTCATTCAGTGTTTCTGATTTCTACTGCTTTACTGTAGATTCCTCGCCATCACAAAACCGATTTTCACTCGTTCAACTGACCTGCGAGACCGAAAGTAGCGCATTGCTAATTCAAAGGCATTCATATATGGTTACAGCCATATTGTTATATTATCCTGTGGCTTGTAACATTGCATGTGCTGAGTGGTGCTCTTACAGAGGATCTGTTAAGTCACTCTCAGAAACAGATACTGACTTTTGTTTGCCGTTTTGTCCTGTGGCGACGCTGTTACGGATAACTATTTGTGTGTCGGTGTGATTCCTCCTCACTTGTTAGGAGCAGAAGAATTAACATTGGGCAGCTTTTATGATAACGATTCTCTGGATGAGGGGAGGTGGAACCACAACAGCCACAACAATCGCAGAAGACATGAATATCGTTTTGAAAATTTTATCTAATTACCAAAACCATTTTGAAAAGGCACAGGAAAAACCAGTTCCTTAGGAAGAGAGACTGCAAATAAAAGGGTGTTAACTCAGTCAGAGACACTTGGTGCCAAAGTAAACAGCCCAGCTAGCAGCTTAAATTAAATATTAAATAAGGTATAGGAGAAAACAATATGTTTTAAAGACGAGGGCAACAGATTGTGTTGAGTAAACTGAAGTAACACATATCAGGAAGTAGAACACAACTTAAACAGAGACTTCTGTGAAGAGTGATGACCTTCCTTACAGTGAATAATAAGCTGAAATTATGACTATTATAAAAAACCATTATGAATTACCATAAAATATTACACAGAATTTTTTTTTTAAAGTATTCCAGGAAAATGGTACAATGTTTAAAGACATTTCTCAGTCAGCTATCGGGACAAAGGGTAAAACGGGTAACTGTCCGTTAAAAATCGGTCGGGGAGATGGCACAAAGAAATTCACAATAACTTTGGCTTTGGCGCCTAAGCCCTGCTTTATACTTAGTTACCAGCCTTCTGTTTTTTCCTGTCACACCATCTTTGCGGAATCACACAGATTATTAAAATCACTGACATGGCTAATTAATTAGGTACCCGAACAAAATGGAGGAAAGTTCCCATTCTTGCTTGTAGGAGGGTCCAGCCAGATGTTGCCCCCTGAGGTCCTCAGTTCTTTAGCAGTCCCAGTTTCCTCAGGGCTTCTTGTCGATCGTCCCCTAATTGACAGTAGGGCTTGATCACCACGCTTACACTGTGGGGCTGCCGAACAGCCTCGCTGAGTCCCAGGGCCTTGGCGGCAGTAGGCTTTTGCCTGACCTCATGGATGTCCTCAAAGTCCTTCTGGTTTCCCAGGGAGGACGGCCGTGGCCGGCTGTTGCGTAGGTTGATGGCCACATTCTCGGCTGTAGAGCCTCCTGCACCCAAGCTGAAACGCCCTAGGGTGGCTGATTTGATCTCGGCGATGCTTGCAGGGGAAGGGTTCGATGGCGCTGACGTGGCACTCTGCACGTTCGGGGTCCACTGCGTTTTACCAGGAGTCCTTTTGGGAAGCTCTGGGTCATGATGGCACAGACCTGGCTCAGAGGACTGCCGAGGTCTTCTGGAATGAGCTACGCCAATGAGGGTGTCTGGATTGGCCTCGTCTGACTTCAAAAGGCCCAACTTGCGCAAGGCTTCCTTCCGCACTCTCAGGGGGTCCATTATAATCTTTTCACTGGGAGATGTTGCCAAGTAGCTTGTGTCAGAACAAGAGTCTTCAGTAACCGGTGTGTGGGTCTTGTTAAACATGCTAAATGCTGACAGTTTGGGTTTGGGAGGAACAACGGGAGGGGTGGACTTTGGTATGGGGCTTTCGTTAATGGCTTTGGGCTGCTCTGATATGACTGAGTTGGAGATATGGGCACTCCCATTGTGTGGGTGAATATCCACAGGAGGATGTGCAGATTGTTTGGGCTTTTCCACGGACAAGGTGTGACTATGGGCACTCTTCACAGAGGCACTCATCCGGATCTGTACAAGCTCCTCGTAAGACAAGGGCCCCCTGGGAGAAGTAAAATCAGAAGCGGGATCGTTCTGAGTAGCTTGGGTTGTTCCAACAGTGGGACTCCCTGCTGCCTTGGTCTCACTTTGGGTGCCCGGAGAGACCTCTTCATTCACGCTGTCAGCTGCTGCCTTGATACATGAGTCCAACTTTCCAGGAGACAGTTTTGGTCCAACCTTGGGCTGGCCGTCCATAACCAGGACGAGTGGAGTGGCTACTCGGTTGCTTGGAGGGTTCTTTCTGTTTTTGGTCATTGTGGTTTCTGGCTCATTTTGCGGACAGTTCTGCACATCTGCAAGACAAAAGCCATCTTGAGTGGCCTTGGGAAAACCATAAATCCCAAGGACCGTGTTTAAAATAATGCACATATCACAACTTCTATTCAACAAAATAACTGCAGCATCACTGCAATTATTTCTGGTTGTTAACTGGATCTAAGTTATTAAAGATAAAGCTTATTGTAGATCACTCACTCCCAGAGGACAGAATGAAGCAGGACCACTACAGGGTCTCACTCACCCTCCAGTGTGGTGCTGACCATGAGGGAAGGGACCTGGTCTTTTTTTGCAGCCAGACTGCCAGCGACAAAGGGCAGGCGGTCTGCATTGTCGATGGACAGCTCGATGTTCTCCTCAGCCTCCAGGGACTCAATGGTTTTCTCCAAGAACATGAGGCACTCCCACTCCTCTGGAGAAAGGTGCCCCAGGTTGTCATTCTTCTGGAACACATACACAAGGAATGTAACTTGCATATTTAATATAACAGGAATGGAAACTCTGAGTATACTGAGTACTGTAAAGTTGGATCTTTCCTCAAGTGGTCCAGGTATCTTCTTGAACGACCATACCTGGCTGATGGGAGTGTCAACACTCACAGGAGTGGAATTGAAGCCAACCATGCTGCCCACGAGACGTGTGGCATTCTCAGCAACACCACCTGGCCACATCTCATTCTTCAGCATCACACAGGGCACAGGGAGGGTCTGCACTCCTTATCCTGAAGTTGAATGTCTGTGGAGGACCTCAGTAAGTTCTCAGAAGACACATGCTTCTTCAAAGCAATACAGCATTAAGAGTATGGAGGCTGCTGTATTTCATTTAACTTTCCATATAAGCCTTGGTAGGTGCTGGTTAAGCAACGCAAATGTGCAGGAAGCCATTTGAAGTGTATTTATCGTGCAATAACTTGTACAGAGGTTACTCAGTTTTGGATCGAATGTGTTCTAAAACCAAAACCGCTTCTAAGGCCAAGTATCTGGAATGCAAACAAAAACACCATGTAAAAATTATAACAGCAATAATATGATGAAAACTGAAATAAACACCAAGTGTGCAGTTAGTGTAGTTAGTTCTGTAACTAGTTAGACAGTAGTGTCTTTCAAAAAGTAAATATGTGGATTCCTATTTAAGGTTAACGTGGTAGCAATTCAGATTTTAATGCATGTAATAATCCATTAGTAGCATACTGTTAATTCTGCTGGTACACTGTCTTTATTGACATACAATGTTTATACAATACCATTGCTTTTCCATATTACAGGCATATTAAGTTTTAGCATGACACATATTTAGCATATCTGACCAAGACTTCAGCTTTGATTTTCCTTGTTGATTATATAAAATGCATATCGTTCATGCATTACCCTGGATAAAATAATTCCAGAAGATGAATAAAAGTAAATGCAAAACGTGCTGACGAAACCTTCTCCGAAATATTCAGAGACTGCTTAGGATCCCACTGAATATCAAGACAAGGTTCAGAGCCAGGAATTCCCCTGTAACAGTACTGTTATGAATTATCACATTCGGAATATGTGTCATTCTTCATGAAATCTAGACCTATATAAAATATGAATGTATAGAATATGCCTGGCCTTCTGGCTGTGATCATGAAAGAAAGTGCTGAGACAGCCTCAAGGCACAACGTGAATGCATGTCATTATAATGCCCTTATAACATAGTTTCAGTTTAATTAATCTCAGGTACAAAAAAAACATATTGCAAATATGTACATTACTCCCCGTGCAGTGAATTGACAAGGACAAAGGTAATGACCTTGTCATAGTAAAAGTGAACAAGAAAAGCACATACTTCTAAAAATATGTTCGTGACAATTTACTTGACAGGCCACAAATACTTAGTAATAACTCAGTTGCTACTGAAGTACAAATCATGAACAAAGTTGCTACTTGATAAAAGATGTGTCATGATTCATTAATGATGAACAAACATGACATCAAGATTTCACTTGTGTTATTCATTACTTTTTCCTTCAGTAGTTCCTTCAGTAGTTCACAAAGGTTAACAGAATTAATAGATATAGTAACAAATACAGTAACTGCTTGGGATAAAAGTTGGATAGTGATTCATTAATGATGAACAAATACGAGATCAGTATTTAATTTGTGTTATTCATGACTTGTTCCTTCAGTAGTTCACAGAAGTTTGCAGAATTAACAGACATAGTAACTACTTCAGATAAAACTTGTGTCACTTATTGCATGATACATCCGGCTACCATGTTTAGTTTTAGATATTAAAAATAGGGAATTAACAAAAAAGGCAAAAAACATTGACCAGGTAGGATGAGTGTACATGTCAGGCTAGTGTCACATTACATTTTTAACTTGTAATTTTCTTATTGCATTTAAATATTTTTAAACCATTTATGTTCTCTTATACTTTTTTCTTTCCTTTAATTGTATACCAATCTGTTTTATTAAAACTAAAAAAATTGTCTCAGCAGGCTATGCCTCTGTGGCTGTAATCAGAAGGTCACTGGTTCGAGGCTCGGCCTCAGCAGAATAGCTACAGTACATGTTTTTGGGCCCATGAGCAAAGCCCTCAATATATCATGCTGACCGGCCCTGTGCTGTGACGTTCACCTGCATGTGTGTCTAACGGGAAGCAAGATGAGGAAGGCAAATTCAAACATTCCAGTGAAGGCTACTTCTTGGGCAAATGACAAACAAAGGATCATTTCAAAACCCAAGCAATACAAGCTATTTTTAATAGCAACCACTGAATATCATTCCAATCATTTTTCACATTTTACATTATCTAAACGATAAAAGATAAAAGTGCATCAGTCTGATTAACACCGATTAAATTATTCAACTGCGACAAGAGCGAATAAATTGAAACCCGTTTATTTAAAAATAAAACACCATACACCAAATAAAACTCACTTTGTGACTTCTTAAAACATAACACATATGTTTGCCTTTGCTCTCGCCAGAAATGTAGGAGCCCGACCTAACCTTCAATGCAGATGAAACAGGAAGTCAGGCTAACTGTGTAAAGCTGTAGTTGCTATCTGCCGTCTCTGATTGCCCACAGAGTATGACTGTGATCGGGTGTGTACCCTGGCCAGTACCTCAGCCATGCACTTTACGGTTCCTCTGAAAATCTCCAGGCCCTATCTCAACTTTAGCAGGATTAGCGATTACAAGAGGCGTCCGCCGCCGTCGCCGTTTCTAACACCAAGGCGGCTGTAAAGATACGACACGTTTCCTGCCTGGACCGCTGTTAGATAACGCGCATTGCCAAGATCTTGGGAAATTGTATTGCAATTGCATTTTTAACTTTTTATTTTCTTACAGCATTTAAATATATATATTTTTCATCCCATTTTTGTTCTCATACTTTTATATCTCTTAATAATAATAATAATTGACACTTCTATTAATCCCCGTGGAGAAATTCTTTTTACGCCTCTCTCAACTTGCTCTTTGTAGAGCAAGCTGTCCGCGAAGGGCAGCCACCTGTAGCGGCGCCCAGGGAGCTGGGGGTTGAGGGTCTTGCTCAAGGACCCGCAGACGTGCTGAGGCTGGGCTTGAACCGGCGACCTTGTGATTACAGGCACACGGCTTAGCCCACTGAGCATCAGTCACTTAAAACAGAAATTCCTGTCTAGATATCCCTTCTTAGTTTTTCCATTTCACCTTTCATTACTTCTTTTGTCTCGTATGACTGCATGGTCCTTTTTATATAATCATTTTACATTACCTTTTTTGCAATATTTTTTTTTACCATATCTCTAATTGCTTATTCTCTATAGCTGCTTTTTTATCCTATATGTAAAGCTTTCATGCATAAAAAATGCTACATAAAGATTATTGTTATTATTATTATCATTATTAATAATAATAATATGATGCAAATGGCCAGTTAATTATTGACAGAAAATGAATGTCCCAGGAGACACGTGCAACTATAGTCAGCCCTGATTTGTGTTACCAAAATGTGGACCAGGTACACATTCAGTGTTCTGAAAGAGAAGTCATAAACTGGGAAACAGAAAAGTTATCGAAAACTTGCATTCGATATGCCCCCATCGCCCAGTGTTATTTAATCACCATTGAAAAACACGACTAGATTAGACACGAAATGCAGAAGCCTGTCTGAATCACTTATTTGCTTAATGGCCAGTTTCATACTGTCTGCTTTCACCGCTCGGGGCTGCTGTATCTCCAGGTGGGACCTGCCTGTTCAGAGCCTCACTAAGGCAATGCGAATGACGCAAAGCCGCTGGTGTCACGATGCATCGCCACGTTACAGTTACCAGAGCATCTGATCTACTGTCGATCCCCGCGACCGAAAATGTTTCGATTTCGCTTAATATTACTTGCTAACAAACAACGTTGGTCTGGCCCTCTCTTACTGCCGTGGTATTGTATTGCAGTAGGAGCCCGGTGCCGCATATCCACTGATCCTTTATCTCGAACTCCGGGGACATGTATCAAGGCCACATAAATAATGAACGGCTTTCAGGTGGATGCAGTTGCGAAAGGAGAAATGTAATTATATATAAGGGAATGCATTCTTAATTAACTAATAAAGAGCACCAACAATCTGCATCTGGATATCTATATGGAATATACAACACGAGACCCTTTTATGCCTGTTAGATGAAACTACAGGTGAGAACAAATTGCCCTACTTGGATCTCTATTGGAACACCTGGAATAATTTGGGCCCAGATTAATACACATCCCTTATTTTAGATGTTGAATACAAAACACCTTAGCTTCTTTTAACAAACAAGGGCAGAGGATACACAACCACTACAAATCTTCAATCGTCTGATACCAGATAGCTGAAAAAAAGATTCCAGAAGTTCCGCAAAAAGACCCTGCAGTCATATCAGACTTTGGGAGTACGGTTTCAACATCCGACCTTTGGCGGGGAACACAAAACTGCTAGATAAATATTGCTTATTTTTCTTGTCTTGCTTTCATTCCACTGAAACATAACGCGTAAATACATATATTTTAAAGCTGATATCCGCCTAAAATGTAGGGTGATAAATGTATAAATGTTTTCAAAAGAAAATTCCTATGCTGAGGGATTGTTTTCCAATATTAAAAGGTAATGACACCACTTTTAAATAGTTAGGTACTTACCTGTAAAGGTGCGGCAGGTACTGGGTCTCCGTCTCTTGCTGGTATTTCGCGCAGTGCAGGTCACTTTCAGATGTCTTTTCAGGTAAGACGTCATATTCGCCGTCGCCGTCCCTCGCAGACAGCGCTCCGCCAATCAGCGCAAGCAGGAATCCGTCTATATGGCGGCCGCAGCCAATGGCCAACTCGTATTACAGTACCCGCCAGCAGCGGGATAACGCCAGTGGCGAACTGAACTTTATATAGACAATTTTTATTTAGTTTTTTTTTTTTAAATCAGGGAATAAAGAACAGCGTTAGGGAAGTTTGAAAAGCGAAGTATTTATAAATCAGCAGGTGTTTCTATTTTAGCCATAGCAATCTTCCTAAACACTGCATAATAATACTGAATGTTATATTGTAGTAATAATAAACTTATACAGTATGCATATACACTTTATACATTATAGCCTTTTATCGTAGGTATTATAACAACAAAAATTAACAAGATAATGATAGCTATATACTAATATACCCCATATAAATATGTGGAGGTGCAGTGCTGTCGAATATCAGCGCCTGTTCTGCTCAGGTAACCTGGACCATTTTCATGCAAGCTACAGCTCAGCGCGCAATTCTCCCTTTTTAAGTATTAAGTGCAGGGAGGATTGCCACGACAGCACCGCTTTAACCGACCCGATCCCGTAATCCTGTTAACGTAGGCAAAAGATTACTCCTTAAAATAACTTGAAGCCCCTACATCCTAGTAAACCCGCCAAAGGCTCACTGCTGTCTGTGCAACTGCATGTTGCACGACGCATTAATGGATTCATCACAGCCACTCTTTGTGTGGGTCAAGTGCTGTTTTTTAAGCGCAGACATAATAAAATATTGTACCGGAAAAAACGTATAGAACAACCCAATTCTACCGACCCACCGAGAGCTGAACGTAAGTTTCCCACTTTACTCCTTTTCCCCAAACGCAAAAATAATTGGATTAAAAAATTATTCCAAGACACAAGGACGTCGTCACGAGACTGGGATATTTGATGTAGACTACCAGAACAGAAACAATGACACGGGATCATTTTTTTATTGGTGATTCACTTCAAACCTGTGTTCATATACAGAGATACAAAATAATACTGCTTAAATTAGCGTTATCGGCAGTGTGCAAACATCCAGTTACAAAAACTAGTTTTGTAGTCGTTTGTTTCTGGAATTAAAACACAAAGGAGAACTGAAACCACAAATCGGGTTGTACACATTATATCTCCAAAAAAAAAAAGGTTTAGTACTCAAAGCATTTTTTTTTTGCTGAGAACAGCATGTTATGTCAATTGTCACAGAATTCCCTGGAACCTGACCCTGCTTCACGTTAGGGGAACTAGAGTTCTACTCAACTTCAAGTTGTTTTTGTTTTGTTTGTTGGTGGACAGTAGGTAACTTCATCTGACGTTTCAGGTGCTGATTAAAACAGATTCTGTAAAACCTGCTGGACTTGTAACCTCGGCAGTAAGGGTCAGACTTCCTGTCTCCACGGTGCCGTCTTGTGTACAGTACAATGCCAATGAACCTTGGCCTAGCTTATCTTTGTGATCCACTAGTGTGGATCTGTGTAAAAAGGACTTGGGTGGAAGGAGAGAGGAGGGAAAAAATGGAGAAAAAGACTGAGGTCATCACTCAGGCCTTTGTTTATCTCTAGTGATGACACACAACAATGACTCAGGTGTGATTAGACTCACAGTATGACCTGCTGCAGCCATAATCCATATACAGGCTTTTCATCTAACTGACCTTTAACAAACTAGACTGCTGCATGGTACCTCCATTCCTCTGCTAATAAACGTTTGATGCTGTCCATTAATAATGGGGAAGCAAAACAAACCAATGTCCTCAAGTTCAAGTTAAGGTAACTACTCCATTTTTCAAAAGGCAGCAATGACAAACCAATCATTTTTCAAAAAAAAAGGGGGCACTGATTTGTTCAGTTTAAGCAACTGGAAACTTCTTGGTTTAAAAAAAATGAAGTTTAAAAGTCCATTTTGTTTTAAGTTTTTCACAAACCACAGAAATGGAGTTGTACTGATCACCATAAATGACATTAAGTAAGTAATGGGCATGCATATTTACCAATGCGTTCGACAAACCAGGCCAGGGGACCCCATTCCTGGTCCTTTTGGGCAAGGATTTCTATGGGTAGTTAATACAGAGCAGCTCTAGAAAGTCCCTGGATGTTTTACATCAAGTCAGTCAGCGCTAATCCTCTCCAGGACTAGGGCTGGGTTTCCCCACAAAGAGACATGCAGTGCAGGTTCATTTCACAATGCTCTGGGTACCACATGGGTCAGGTGACCCCCAAATCACAGGCATTTCACAGAGGGTTCCCAAGTTTGATTGTGTTTCAGAGCTGGAGTTTCTTGCCCAAGATGAGGATATTTCCACCTCCTGTGTACTCGACTCTTGAAAGAAACCAGCAACTTGGCTAATCAGATAACCTAGGTGAACCATTCTAGACATACAATACACAAGAAGCACAAATTAAACCCATGACAAAAATGTACAAACTGGTAGCTACGATACAATCAAGAAGCACCATCCGCTTCAAAATCACTGCGGTTCATCAAGAAGAGAACCAGGATTCAAGCTGATCCAGTTTCCGTGATGCTTCAGGCACAGAAATTGGGAAACCACACCTCTTAAGCAGCTGTGCATTTCTATTCTTGTAACTGGACAGCTCAACGATCTCAGTTCTCTTGCCAGAGCCACAGGTGAGCCACCTCCTCACATCTAAGCCCTGGTGTAGCCATCTGAATGTGTAAGAGAAAGGATTGTACTGCAGTGAGAATCATCTCAACCAGTGAGTCTCAACTCGTGAAATCTACCAGTCACACAGACATCATGCTTACTGTTAATTTTAGAGTCTTACAGACACCCCAGCGTCTACTGTACACACTGTCAGAAAAAAATGCTAATTTGTACCTCTGCTTGTCACTGGGGCTGTACCCTCAAGGGTAAGTGTACCTTTTAAGATACAGAAATAGACTATGAGAAATATTTTTGTACCACTGGTGTCACATTAATGTTGTTTGTACCTTGGGGATGTTCCTGAGAGTCCATTTCTGTACCTTAAATTATATTAAAAAGTACATTTACCTACAGCTAGGGTACAATTGGCAGACCTGTAAGGGTACAGCCCCAGTGACAAGCGAAGGTACACATTTTTCTGACAGTGAAGCACAAAACTTTGCTTAGATGCAGTCAAGGTGGGATTTTTCTTCCCCCATGTTATACGGTGTCTGATGAGGGTGACTTTTACCATGAATGGTCAAGCCACTTTGTGCAGAACACTTAAACTCTAAACGAAAAACAAAAACTGTGACTGAATCTGACATCATCCTTTGTGATTACACATATATGCCATATCAGAAACCAAGGCAAAAAAAAAAAAAAAAAAAGTTTAAACAACACATCAGTTACTATTAAATTAACCTTTTGTTGATGAACATAGCATAGAAAGTCCTTTGCTGTCATAAACAACAGTACTGAAATCCCTTTACTTGCGTCCCAATTATTTACATCCAGCGTTTAAACGCCCTGTCTATGGGTAGCAGCATTGATGCAAATCCCCCCAACAAACTGGAACGCAGTCATTTTAGATTTTATTAAAGTTTCATTTTAGAAAATGGGTAATTGTTTTATTTATTTATTTTGTTTATCATTTAGGGGAATTCCCATTTGAAAGTCAGTTTGAACAGATTTATATGACCGCAAGTACACCTACTTGCAATTGATGAGGAGGAGAGAGTGGATCATCTAATCCACTCCGCAGATAGGTTCCATACGTTCATGCACAAAAGTAAAACACACACAGGCTCATGGGGCCTGCATGCCTGACTGCCTGGATGTAACAGTTCAGCTTTCCATAGATCATAGTACAGTCACCCGCAATATCCTGTATCCGTTCAGGATGTTTAAATAAAGTCACACTTTCAAAACAACTAGTGTAGCACCCAGGTATTAAAACTTCTCTAGCACCCCAAGGAATGCTGTGTACCAAATAGTACCAATTACTAATCTGGAAATATCTTCCAATGTCCCTCCATCCACCTAATTCTGATGTTATGACTCTTCTCTCAAAGATTCTTTAAGCACCAAGAGGGTAAACTTTTTTTCATGCTTGTCAAATTGCACTTCCAATTCCAAGACACGGATCTAAAAATGTGATTTGCATACATTTAAAAGTCAGATGAAACAGCTGTTTATGAAACCTTTACAGACAATTACTCAAGTTTAAAAATCAGCAGTTACCAGTTCGTAATAAACAGAGCAGCATTACAGTACCAATGGAATTGGGTGGAAAAATTAACCACTTATACTGTGCAAATTATGGGAAAACATGCCTTGTTTTCCTTGAACAGACCCTCATAAAATTAAGACCTGGAGAACTTGAGAACATTTTCCAAACAAAGTCAGTATTCACTAGCTAAATATTTTTCTTGCCAAACAAAAACCATGACAAAATGCCTCTTCCTTCTAAGCACTCCATTACAACTGTCAAATCACCATTTAGGTGTCAGAAACTATATCCAACCGTTTGCGAAACCAGGAAAGATGGAGGGTACAGCAATAATTTATTGCTGCTAGGTGAGATGCAGTACGGTAAGGCCATTACAAAATCTGGGATAAGGTGTGCAATCTGTTTTCGGCGACAGCAAGAATCTGAAGGAGTATGTCTTCAAATAAGCCAGCCCCCCCAATACAATCGGCAGCATGTGCAGAAATAACACATTAATATTAAAAACAGAAGGGAAAAAAAAATGGTAAACGGAGCATATTCCTTGTGGAAGAGCTTGTGAGCTGGTAGAAGCACAGAGGAGCACGTGGGGAGGTGGGGTGACGTGAGGTAGATTGCGCAGACTGAGAACGTAACACAGAATGAGTTATTGGAGTGGGCTGGAAGTTTGAGGGCTGGGGGAGCACTCAGCAGTGCTTGCGTTTTGCTCTGTTTTCTGGCAAAATCCATAACTGTGGAATTCCAGAAGCGGAACTCTGGGAGCACGCAAAAACAAAACAAAAAAAGAACAACATTTTTCACTCAAGTCATCTGTCACTCAGCTAACTGAAATGAAACGATTTACATGAGTATAGGATTGTTTCACCAAAGACCAAAAAAGCAAGAAGGAGGAAACAGAAGATCTGTAACATTAGATTCAAAGCCAGATTGAGGATTTTTTCCATTCCATTTTCCGCTTTGCTGAAAGCAGAGATGACATTTAAGCTCTTGAGTCTAAACAAGCTGGGTGACAAATGATGGAGGTGCATCATTTTACCGACAAAAGCAGAGCAAAGCGCCAGCAGCCGCGACTCCCCAGCGCGCCCCCCCCCCTTCCCGGCGGGTAATCACACTTCCCCGAAATTGGCGTGGCCTGTTTCCTTGGCATGCACACGAGCCTCTGCCTGTCCCACCAGGCCCCTCTGGCACACCATACAGCGTAGCGCGAAGCGGTTGACGTCCGTGAACTGCCTCTTCCGCCGCGCCTCGTCGGCCAGCTCCAGCGCCTGCGCCAGGACCACGTCGTCCGCCGCCGAGAAGATGGTCTGCGGCGGCTGGCCGTCAGCCTCCCGCTGCAGCGGGTCGTAGTGGATGCCGTCGTAGATGAGCAGCACGCGCCGCTGGTAGCCTGCGTCCTCGCCAAAGCGGTCGACGCGCACCGTCTGCGTGTCCACCACGCAGATCTCGCACTGGTAGAACTTGGACAGGATGGAGACCTCGATAGCACCGCCCCAGGTGTCGTCACGCCGAATCCAGGAGCAGTAGTCCTCGTTGCTGCGCCCCAGCACAGCTTCGGAGTAGGCGGTGGGGTCGCTGGCTACGATCTGCGCGATGAGGCTCCGCATCTCTGGGGCGCAGCCTGGGTCATACACACCACCCTCCACTGCATAGTAGACGCTGGTGAAGAGGCACGAGTTGTCTGCGGGGACTGCACGGCGCACCAGGGCGGTGACAGATTCCAGCCGGGGGGCTTTGCTCTGCACCGCTGCCACTGCCACTGCTTGGGCCTGAGGCTTCGGCCTGTTCTTCTCCTCCTCTATAATGAGCGTGTCACCTGCAGCACAGGGAACAGCCACTGCTGTAGAGAGCAGGACACCACGGGGACTCCAAAGCCACAGCTGTGTACGCTCCAGTGTGATTCCAATTACTATCCAATTAATTACTTCAAAAGATCAATTAAAAGCAAAAAGACTGGTCTTTCAGAACCACACCGGTGCATAAATTAAATGTTAATTGTAATTCTATTCCTTTGGAATGTTTTATAGATCATACTATACGATTTGGTCACATTGCATTAAGCTATATATTGATTTCATCATTTATTGAGAGGCATTTTAAAATAACTGAAAACTAACTTTGAAACTTTTTGTTAAAAACTTCTGCAAAGCAATAAAAATATATCCCCTCTGTAGAGTATTACAAATATCTGTACAGCACAGTGACTCTCAGCACAGTGACTCTCAGCACAGTGACTCTCAGCACAGTGACTCTCAGCACAGTGCTAAAGCCACCCATGCAAGTGCACATTTTTTCCTTCATTCCATCCCTTACATGCCTGATTCTTCTTTTTCACTAATTACAAAGCCCTGGATTACCTGTATTGGGCATGTAAGCGGTAGGCCAGAACAACAATGTGCATTGGCTGGGGGGTAGGTACAAGGACTGCGCTAAGAATCACTAATATGGAACTTTTCACATAACAATCTAATGAAACTTAATGGGGAAAATGATTGCCAGTCACAGGGAGGCACCATGCGAAACATTACCAGACTTGATGGGATAGTCCTTCAGATGGGCATCGCCATTGCGGAGATCTAGACTGGAGGGTGGGTAGCCCACCATAATCTTCTGCACATCACATGGGATCCCTGTCAGTTGCTCCACCTTATCCTTCAGCTCCTGCACGCAGGACTGGTGCGTAAGACCTTGCATCAGGTGTGTGCCGTTCTTGGCCTTGCAGCGCAGACGTAGCATCCTCAGCTCCCTCCGCTCTGGGGGAATGCAGCCACAGGATCACGTGACTAAGACTCCTCCTGGCATTATAAACTAAACTCTTGACTTGATTATATAAATACATGATCCACTGACAGGCAAAGAGCCATTAAAAGCCATATTTTTTCCTACCTCAGAAACACGTGGCTCGTTACTTTATAGTAATGCAATATGTCATTTAGAGTTATTGTTTCATTTAGACGTTTAAAATGTTGAATGGGCGGAGAATTTACTTTGGGAAACAAAGTAACCAAACGGAGGGATACGGGAAATGTGTATAACGACAAAACCCAACGACAAAAACAGGATGGAAGGCGATTATAACGCCTCACTCTATGAAAGTACAATCCCTGTTGTCAAAACTAACGTGCTGATGAAAGCGTTGTAAACAGCATAAAATGCAATGACGGTAGGAATCTATACGTAGTCAGAATTCAGGGAATACCATTTCCATCCGATTCAAAAACAAAATAACAACAAACCGGCTTTTCAATTAAACAACCTGGATCGACATTCAATATCTCTGTGATCATTAAAACTAGTAGCCACGTTTACGTTATGAAATAAACAATCTTACATGTGATACGGAAGAAGGTTTTACATACGGCCTGTCAAAACCATTCAAACAACCTTGTTGTTAGCTTAGCTTAGCTTAACTAACAATATATTAACTGCATCTTGCTGGGTCCCCTCTCCAAATTGGAGACTTAAATAATGAAGCAAACAGGGTCGCACACGGTTTATAGTTAGGTACTGACCATGACTGAGCGGTAACTAACTGTCACACTATGAAGCTACCTAGCGACAGAGACTGCAAGACAAACACTGACGGGTACCGTCATAGAAAGAAAAAAAAACACAATAAAATGCAACAAAAACACCCGACTCATGAAAGGGAAGTACATATATGCATAACGATCTTTCTATGTTAGAGCCCACTGCACAGAGAGGTGTCAATATTTTTCCACACATTAACTTACCAAAACGCTTGTAATTCAGACAATAAACACTTCACAGGGGGACCGCCTGTGTAAATCGTCACACGGCATACGTCTACGCATAGAACGGTGACGTTTACACATAACACTGACGTATGTACGCAGACATCTGACGCGTGCAGAGGCACGTGGGTTTTTTATTTTTTTACAAATAGTTGAATAGAAATATGCTGGAAGTTTTGTAAATGTAAATAGTTTTGTGGTACTTTTCTGAGATTAGGTAAGTTTCAAGCGACATAGGGACCCGGATTTGACCTTAACGTGGAATAAGTAGAATTAAAAATTCCATCAGTTATCATCGTAATGAAATCAAATTCAATTTGATCATAGCTATGACGATTTTTTGTTATGGTGGTTATAAGTATTGATCTTTCGTATTCTTCAGCATCAGTGACATCTCTATGAAAAATGCATTTAATGTGTGTAAGCAACAAACAAACGTCTTGTCATTGTCCATCTTTCAGTACGTGTAAGTAAATTATTGGCTGTGTGGACACCTAGAGGACATCTAGTTAAATGAATCTTAGCCTTAATGACCAAATGAAAATGGTATATATGTTGCATAATATGTACCGGTAAACATTTACTTCTTATTAATCTCAGAGCTTTGCATAAAATCTACAAATGAAGCATTCCAGAAGCAGCAAAAAGTAAATCCACAGTAAAGACAATATGATGGTATTTCATTCTTTCATCCAGGATTCTCTTGATGATAAGGCAGCTCATAAGTTTTCAAAATAAGTAGACGAGACCACTGGGACTCATTTAGCATTATTTATTCAATTGTGAACAAGGCATCGTTTTGCTGATTGAAAAGTAGCACACTACTATGAAACCGTACATTGTGCGTTAGCTGGTTTTGGATACATTCATTAGCACGTTACAGTACACTGAAATGCAGTGGCCTTCCCTGTGAATGAGCTTTGGGATTAGTAACGCAGTCCTCTTTTAGGTCTCCTCCCGCAGGCAGGCTGAACAAACACTCAATCAAACTTTTAAACATATGCACAGTCTCAAAGCTAAAGTAGATAAGGCTTTCAGAAATTTTGCCCCTAAGGCACAGATTCAGAGCAAACAACTGATGTGATCCTACAGGCATCCTATACCAGGCATCCTATACCAGGCATCCTATACCAGGCATCCTATACCCCATGAAGTGGACTGCCCTGTTAATTACCCAAAACTTGGATGGACTATTCTGATTGTGGTACTCCCTTCCATTAAAGGTTCTTATGCATTCCAACTGTCTCCATTCATCTCTGTCCTTAAGAACAACTTTTGTGTTGTTTAAAACTACTTTTGCATCTTTAACATACTTAAAGTACATACACACGTATGAATACATAATAGAGCTAACAGTTTTCATACCAATATATAAACTATTTCAGTTTCTGTATTAACTAAATATACATAAATACCATAAAATGTCATGTAACTTATTCAGTGGTGCAAGTAAAAGATGTATGTGATCTTTCATTTTAATTTCTTTGTTCATGGGGTACAGGATGCCAAAATGCCAATTCATTCACAAACCTTAAAGCTAAATTATTACTATGTACACTTGTACCAAATTTGTGTAACAGAGAAAAATAAATTATCTAGCAAGGTTTGCTTTAATTGCTTGTGAGCCATTTACAGTTTCAAATATTTAATTCACCTCTTTAAAATCTATATTCAGAGTTACATTTTTAAGCTTTTCATTAAATATATATTTAAAAAATGTAATTTTGCCAACTTAAAAAGCTGTATGTTTCATCAGGTTCATATTAGTCATGCAAAGTGTTTTTTCACATAATAAACTATACATACAAATCCGTCTTCGATATCACTTATATAGTACATATCGCTGTGAATTAGGAAACATGGATGTTTAAAAATGAATTTAAACATTCTTGAACCTCATAAGAATTTCTTTTACTAACTGAACATTAAATGAGACATTTATACTTAGAGGCATTGCTTATGAGCAATGCACAAAATTATTCAGATTTTTGGTGCTCAGAAGTTTATACATACATACAAGTGGACATGCAGTGCAACTGAAGACAGATGTAACAGACAGATCCAAAGTGCTCCAGGTCCTGGGAGAGAGAAGAGGAAAATGGGTGGGTGGGTGGGGGGGCTGCAGCTTCTTACTACTCAAAAGCGGACACAGTCACTAGCTTCTTCTGGACTGTCACAGTCGATTCCCTCGCAGATCGATTCCTGTGAAGGGAATAAAAAAGGTGTGGGCATCAGGTATGTCCTCCCCTCCCCCATCAAAAGAAGCTTGTGCTGTTACTAAGGAGGTGACAACAGTGGAGGGAAATGACAGCATGCTTTTTGGCCTGGGAAGCTGTGGTTTTTGCTTGCAGGTCGTTGTGCTTTCACAATGTGATGCATCTCTCTTCCATAACTGCTTCATAAACCTTGCAAGCACAACGGTTATTCAAATTTTATTCAAATTCTGTAACCAAATCTAAGATTCATCATTAGGACAAAACAAAATGAGGGAGACGGAAGGAACAACCTTATTGCATGTATGTGTGGGTTTTCACTAGGGAAACTTTTGGAAATGAGGAATATATTACAAAGTAAAAGTATCAGTACAATCCTTCAGCTTTTGTAACTGGCTTATAAATGGTAAATGGACTGCATTTATATAGTGCTTTTTTACTACTCTTACGAGTACCAAAGCGCTTTACAGTTATGCCTCACATTCACCATCCACACTCACATTCACACACCGGTGGTGGAGGCTGCCATGCAAGGCACCAACCTGCACACCGGGAGCAATTTGGGGTTCAGTGTCTTGCTCAAGGACACTTCGATGGAGTCAGGAGGACCCAGGGCTCGAACCTGCAACCCTCCGGTTGCCGAACAGTAGCACTACCTCCTGCACCACCATCGCTGTTAGACTGTTAGATAAACAGTTTCAAAACATTTATTCTGTCTCATTAACTGGTCCCAAAAAATACCTCAGAGGGGATTTAAGGTAAAAGGTCATTTTTTCTTCTATACTTAGCTTCTAGACAAAAATATCACACAGGTATCCTTTTCACAAGCCTAATCAGTGCCAAAAATACTTTATATAACTCTTAACTGAACGTATCCACTGTCATCAGCAGGGCTACAGAATAAAGTCACCAAAAAATGAGGGATAAAATTCTGCCTTGGAGAAAACAGGCACATAGAGGCATCTCTGAGAAATATGTGCTTCTCTCAGGATATGATCACAACAAGACTGCAAAGGCAGGAAGGTGTTTACCCATGAAACTGAGCGATAACATAATCACAGTGCTGTCAGTATTTGAGTAACTGTACTTTGTTACTGTAATTAAGTATTATTTTGACAACTTTGTACTTGACTGAGTATTCACTATATTAGCAGCTTTCACTTTCTACTTTACAATTAAAAAGGGATTCTGTGCTTTTTACTTTAGTATATTTCTATTGACAATGGCTGTTATTCATTACATTTTGTATAGCCAACCTAATTTTGTCTGTAGGAGCGCAGTAAAAACACAGCTGTATTGCCCCAATAGGGAGTACATAAGGGTTTGTGGCCAATCTGCCACAGGGGACATGGGAGGGGAAAAAATTAATGGAAGGGAAGAATAATGAGATTTTGTGAGATCCTGCAATACTTTTGCATTACTACTCATAACAGTTCTCTGTCAATTCAAAGTAGGAAGTTTAGAATTGATGGACTGGGAACTATAAACCTAAATAACACAGACATGTCCAGTAAACTGTTTCAACCATTTCAGATTATGTATTTTTACATATTGTGAATAATCACACGGCATCCTTTTACTTCCAGTGACTGTAAGCAAGCGATAGATATAGAATGTAAAGTGCACATGTGAACATTCAAACATTAATTGAGATTTGCATGTACAGAAATCTGGAAAACCAATGGGTGTTGCTTGCTTTTCATTCATTCATTCATTCATTCATTCATTCATTAACCTTTATTTTACCAGGCGAAGCATTAAGAACAGTTTCTTATTTACAATGACAGCCTGGCAAGTGCCAGAAAGCACTTGTAAAACAAAATGAAAATGGAATAAAGAATAATAATAGATAAAAACATTTATAAAAACCCATAACAGAATGATAAGTAAGCCTTTGAAAGCCATGACAGATTTTATATATATATATATATGTATGTTTATTTGATAATTTGCTGACAGATATCCAAATTTAGACTTAGCTAGGTTTAAACCCGAACAAGCTGTCAAAAATACCTCCTGCTAATTCTGCTTGAAGAAGAGTATGAGTGTACATAAAACATTTTTTTGCTGGTAAATGGGCACAGGTATTAATAAATATGCATAAACACATAATCTTAAAATTGAACAGTGTGCATTGTCCTCCATAGTCTATTGCTTAAAGAACATTTTGATGGCCATGTCTATGTCATTCAGTTTTATAGCTATTAGTCCATTTGTTATACCGTATGAATACCGTGTAATTAATAATAAATAAGTATTTTGAGACAGTAGGCCTATTACAAGATCTCATAAAAGTACTGCAACACCATCTAGTTTTTCTTTTGGAAACTGATACATTAGGTTATTGTGCCTAACTAACCTTCAACACCACTTTATTTAAGCCTGCATTTGATACCAGCTAAATATATTTGATACTTAAATACTGTTAACAACAGATACTTTAACTCACTTTGACTCTCTTACGCAAGTGATACTTTAATAGGTGGGTTTTAATTTTTACCAGAATAATTTTCCTAGTAACATATTACACAAGTATGGGTTTCAGACACTTTATCCAGCCCTGCATACTGATAAAGTCTCTCTTATTTTATCAGAGAAAATACTGCAGCTTTCTTATTGGTTGGGGGATCCCTTTGTTCCTGCAGTGAGGGAAATATCTGCAGACACATCCTGCAAGATACTCACTGACAGCTGCTTGCCGTCCAGGGCTGTGAAGGAAAGAGGACGGGGGAGAGAGAGAGTGAGGGGGAAAGAGAGAGAGCGAGAGATAGAGAGCAAGGGGGGAGGGGGGCAGATAGAAATGGAAAGAACAAGCTGAAACACAAGACACACACAGCCAAGCACACAAACACACATTTTCATATACAATGTGCACCACACAGACATACAGAATATTACCCACACACAAACAGCATATATAAATATCAGATTACATATTACACCCCCAAGTTATAATTCCGTATCACCCTATTTGATCACAAAAACACCCAAAATGTGTATAATGCAGAAGTCCAAACATTTAAAAGGCATATAACGTGTGTAATGTGGCTTTTTAAACGTTTTTGGAAGTTCAGCCAAGTTATCCCGTTCAATTCCCTCTGCATGTGAACCCTGACCACAAAAATCAAAACATTCTGAAAAGCTCCCTATTCTGTCCGACAGACGACAAAGGCCACGCGGGTTTGGCACAGCTGGACGGCGACCGGCCCGAAGCAGCCATAAGGTTGAGGCAGAAAGATTAAGAGTAGGAGCTTCTCATCCCTGTGCTTATTGTGGGGGTCTGCACCGGATGGGGGCGAGCTGGAGATCAAGGCGTAGAGCGGCAGATTCTCAACACGAGGACGGCGGACATGCCAGACACAAGCAGGTACGGGGCGGACACAGGACATCCAGAGAACAGGAACTGAACCAGAACCACAAGACCATCAGCTCATGCCAGACCATTACACTCCACCGGCAATCACTGAATCGACCAGCTGAAGATCCTCAGGGAAATCACTGAGAGAAGTGTAGGAAGAGAACTGGGGGCAGGGGTGCCCAACAGTGGGGGAGTTAAAGAAGGAAGGTTGGGGGGGTGGGTGACTGATTAGGGTGATTAAAGGCGAGAGCCCTTAATACCAGCAGTACTGCTGACACTAACTTCACTTTGCTGCAGCAGCATCGCCCCCTCTGGTGCCTCCGGGAACTGCAGGGTCGACGGGGAGGGGGCAAGGGGCAGCCAGGGCCGGTTTCCGGCACTGTAGAGCCGGGGTCGCTTGACCTGGTCGTGACTGGACAGGGGTGTGTAACTATTCCGGCGAAGCAGGACGGGCGCAGGGTCCTTCCGGACTTTGTTCTGGACGGGGAGGGGGAAGAGACCACGAGCGTTACGGTGAGAGATAAAAACAACACAGCGCAGGTGAGAGTGGATCTAATGGCGAGGGGACTCCTGAAGAGCTACAGTGAGCTTGAGCTGCCCTTGGCTACTTCTGCCGCACTTTTGTGGCGGTGGGGGGGGGCAGACAAGCTACGCTAAGCTAGACAATTTTAACACGTGAACAGGTTTGTCGAAAAAGAAACAGGAGATGCCGAGACTGCAGAAGGAAAGTACAAGGCGCTTCAGAGGCCTGGCAAAAGTGCAACAATGACAACAGAGACACAAAGTGAGCATGGAACGTAAAGTCATGACTAGATCTACATGCCTTCGGTTTGCAAATTAGCATAGTGAGAGTGAGCGCCATACAGGAATGTACATGAACAAAAGCAAGAATATGAACACAGCGAAATTTCACATTAAGTGGAACTCTTACAGAATTTGAAATGGAAGCTGGTAAGTCTGTTGCTTGATGACCTAAACTTGTATTCATGAAGGTAACACCTAGTACGTGAACCCAGCCATATGAAGTAACTCCTTGATTAGGACCCAGATGACCCTGATCACAGGCCGTACGGCCGAACACACCACAGACAGGACACCAGTCCATTTCAGGGAATTCAGACGTGTGCACTCATACAATGCAGGCAATTCAGAGTCACCTGGAAAGTGTGTCTGAATTCCAGGAAGGAAACACACTATTGACAGGAAACCCACGCTTTTGCTGAGAGAACATGCAAACGCTACACCCACAGAGCTGGATTCAGAGCCATGACTCCAGATATGAGGCAACAACGTCAATCACAGAGCCAATATGTAATAATAATAACAACAGAAATTATTATTATTATTATTTGCAAACAAATGCTGTCAATTGAAAAAAGATAAAATGGCGAAACTCCAAAGTGACTCATTTTTATCAGTATTATGTTAAGTTAATGTTCCAGAAGAGGAACACAAGCAAAGCAGTGTAAGACCAGACAAGCGTAACACAATTTTCAAGTCCCTATTTTTGATACAGTTCATTTGGTGCACTGAAATTCATAATGAGTTTCATAACCCTGTAACTGAAAAGAAAAAGGAAAAAACAAACAAAGAATAACTCACTAAAGGGCGATCACGGTGTGTGTTCACCGCCTCTACATTCAGGTGAAACATCTCCACTTTGCAACCTGCGGGTAGAGGAATTAGAGACAGGTTAAGTGCAACGGGACCAACAATAGGCACACAATAGCCACAACAGAACCGCAGCCAAGGGCGCCACCAAGGGGTGGCCAGGAATCCACTGCCCTCCTCCAAAGGCGGCTGCAGAGATTTTATTTCAGAAGCGGAACGATCGAAAACTGTAAGTTAACTGTAGGACCAGCACATAGTTTGTGTCGTTAACTCGTTTGCACCCCAGCGCTTCTGAATGAAAAGGTTTGTAAAACCTTTAAATGTAGTTCATCCTAATTGTTCTGGTCGCATTAACTATAGTTTTAATTAGCCAGCAATTCAAACACATTGGAGTGAAACAGTGTTTCTTCTTCTTATTATGATGGGCCTATTCATTTCAATGAAAAGGTCCATGTTACTCTTCATTATTATTATTACTGTGGTGTTTGTGTCACCCCAGGAAAATCACTTGCCATCCCTTGCCCACCCTACTGAAAATGTTCTGCTGGTGCCCCTGATTGCAGCCTACGTGGGGGAGGGCAGTGGCAGGGCCCGCAGAAAGCACTGGACTGATCACTGGGCAGATGCTGGAGAAGGTCTTACCGTAGGCCACTGGTGTGAGCTTGAGGACTGAGTGAAGGGGGCATTTCAAGTAGGGCAGGTCATCTGAGAAACGCAGTAAACGAAAAGCAGAGTCATTTTCCCACGGTCTCCTTAAACCATGGCTGTACCGTGCCTGAAAGGTACTTACATCAAAAAAAAAAGCCAGGCCAAAAAGCCAAACTCCCAGCTGATATGTAAGGGATAATGTAAAGGCAGCCGGTAGTTATCGCAGAAATAAGCCCCGACAGTGTGATCAGGACCCGACGCGAAGCGGAGGCTAGCGGCTGCCTGTACATTATCCCGCTTATTACACGGCTACTTGCCACATAAGGAAAAAAACTGGACATGAATATAAATTTGAAACATTTTATTGACATATTTGTTTTAAATTAACATT